GTGCACAATACAAAACAGATTGCTGAAGTTAAAACTTTGATTGTACCAGGGGCATTCTGAAAGTAATGAACCATTTTATTTATTTTAAACTGCGAAAGATTTATGAAATTTACTGACAATGTAACACAATGTCCTTTACACATTTTAATTTTCTGTATAACCCATCCACTTATATGATCTAACATCAATGCAGAGCAAAGACATGTATGTCTTGCCTGCATCAGGATCTTCCCTTTTATACAGTTATGCCTTTACAGCATGAATAGTGTTTTACTTTCTGAAGCTTGAACTCTTTAAACCCACAACCAATCATGCTCCTATCAAATTCACAACTTTCATACACTGGACACAGATGTTTATGAATACTCACCAGTTTCTCTTTTTTCCCCCTGCAACTATATATTTGACACTATCTAAAGCCCATATATGCAAAATCACCACCTACAAGATGAGGTGATCAAGAAAAGCAGCCAAGATAACCATCCAAGATCGAGTGAATAATGATACTTTCAGTATCAGACAAATTGAGGAAACGACACCTTGTACTAGATTCATCGAGAAACAGAAGATCAAGTGGTTTGGCCATCTCATTAGAACGCAGCAAGATCAAATACCATCATAAGCGCTACATCTCAGAAGATCAGGTACAAGAGCAAGAGGACAGCTGCGGAAAACATGGATCGACAACATTAAAGACACTCAACGCCTTCACGACATGACAATAGCCAGTGGCAGCCAGCGTGCACACGATGGCAAATTATTCCTCCCCATGACGCTTAACGGCAGAAGTGGTTTATGATGATGATGAAGATGATGATACATTTGACATGTCCCTATTTTTAACACAAAATATCCTCACTCTCTGTTTAATGGATTAGTGCAGCTGTTATTTTTGTTGGAATAAGTTACCATTTCATACACACACCTTGATATTTCAACTCTGAAATGTGCACAATTTTATGTTTTTATCTTCAAGAGCTATATAAATACTATCCTGATGTATGGAAATGCATTATGGACAATTGGACAATTAGTTTAAAAAAAAAAATTAGGCGGAAGTGGTGGAAATGTAGATAAATTATGAGAATACCAAGGACAGATGAAAAGAGCAATGAAGATGTCTTGAAAGAAACTGACTCATGAAAAGAAATGATTGCTCACATCAGAAAGAGACAATCTACATTCTTTGGTCATGTGCCAAGAAGGAGAAAACTGGTGCACCTCAAGATGGTGGGAAAATTAGAGGCGAAAAGAGGAAGAGGAAGACAAAGAGAGAAGATACTGGACAGTTCAAAATCATTGCATGTAAGATCATCTGTGTCAGAACTGACTGAAAGTATACGGGACAGAAGGGTGTAGACTGACATGACAACCAGTGCCACATGGCATGCACTATGAGAAGAAGATCTTCAGTAAGTGTTGTGTAGAAGTTCTTGGTAAGAAAGAACAGAAATATAAAGCATGGATAACACCAGAAGCCTTTAAAATGATCGAAGAAAGTAAAAGTAAAAAGGCAGACCTAAACAATAGCAAAACAAGAGCTGCTAAATCTAGAGCTCAGGGTAATTACACAGAAGAAAATAAAGAAGTTAGGAGGTGAAAAAGTGCAGATAAAAGGAAATGTTTACATGACCTAGCACAAGAAGCAGAGACAGCAGCAGCAAAAAGAAACCCCAGAGACCTTTACAATAACACAAGGAAATTTAGTAGATAAATATAGTCAGCCAACTGGATCAATTGAAAAAAGTCAATGAAAGATACCAACACTAAAGATCAAATCGACAGATGAGCCAAATATTTTTAAACACTTCTAAATAGACCAGCACCAGAGGTTCCTCCAGATATCCAACCTATAGAAATAGAACTGAATGCCAACTGTGAGATACCATCTAAAGAGGAAATTAGGAGAGCTATCAGTCATCTGAAGAAAGGTAAGGCAGCAGGTCCAGATGGTATCCCAGCAGAAGTTATTAAGGCCAATATAAAAACATCAATGGAATTGCCACATAGATTATTTAGTAAAGTCTAGGAGACCGAAGAAATACCAGCAGACTGGAGAGAAGGATATCTTGTGAAACTGCCCAAAAAAAATTATCTACAGAAGTGTGAAAACTTTAGAGGAATTATGTTGCTGTCAGTTCCTGGAAAAAATATTAAGTAGGATTATTTTAGAAAATCCAAAAGGTGCTATTTATAAAAAGCTAAGAGATGAACAGGCAGGTTTTCGGCCAAACAGATCCTGTACTGACCAGATAGCCACATTAAGTATAAAAACAGAGCAAAACATTGAATTGAATTCATCACTTTACATTGGATTTGTAGACTGGATATAGTTTCGTCGCTCAGCTTCTGAGTTGAATGCATGGCGTGACACTGTGAGCTGTGAATTTCATTTGGAATGTTTTTTACTGTAACTAACGTGGCGGTGTAAATTGTAGATTCAGAAAATGGTGCAACCGCGATGCCTGTCATCGCAATGTTGGTGGTGCCCGTGTGTGATTAAAATTGATCGCGTGAGCAATTGCTGATCTGTTGGTGACTTCTGCTACCATCAATGATAAACTGCATTTCTAATGTCGGACTGTTTGTGTTAGCACTTCGGATGGCTACCGTATGCTTTAATGCGTGTGTATGCTAGATATGCTGAGACAGAAGTCTGTCAATCTTTCCACAAGGGATTGTGATAAACATTCTGCGTGTTTTTCGTTGGCACAGGAGCTCAGCAACTATGGGGTGACCTGTTTGCTATGAAGCTGAAACTAAGACTACCAGATTACCAGACATTGGATTCATAGACTATGAAAAAGCTTTTGACAACATTAATATGGAATCTCTCTGGAAATTAGTGAGGTATTATGGAATACCAAAGAAAATTATTAACTTAGTAAAGGCAACATATTAAAACATGAAATGTTGAGTTTTTCATGAGGGAAAGCTAACAGATACAACTGAAATAAGAACAGGTGTGCAACAGGGATGTTTTCTGATGCCTCTCCCATTTTTACTGGCATTAGACTGGATTATGAACATAGCAACTTCTAAGACCAGAAATGCCTACTCGTTGTGCATGGCCCAGTTATAAACAGCTAAGAAGTTGCGCCATTTTGAAACTTCCAACTCCACTCATTCACTTGCTCGACTGACAGGTATGCACCCCTACATTTGACCTTCATTTACAGAAAAATTTCATTACTATCTCCATCGTCCTTTTCAGGATGAAATTTTTTATTTGAAGCCCCACTCTGGCTTTTGTCGGGGGCCGCAATATAGGCAGGCCATAAATATGGCCAAATGTCTGAACGCAGTTTCTGGGACCTCTCCACGGCGATCCTCATCCACATGGTGGCACTTTGTGTCATTGGGTGTTTATCGCTTGTGTGATGTCCTAGTGGGGTAGAAAGTCAATCAATCAATCAGAAAAATTTCTATAGGTTTCACCCCTTCACTGATTAAAAAAACAAACAACTGATAACTAAATGCTGCTTCTCTTTGGTGCATGTCAAAAGTGGGGTGGTGGTCTTTAAACTGCTGTTATGACGTCATCACAAAACCATCTTCACCATGATGGCACATGCTTAACACTCTTGACATCCTAAACAACAATATTGACAGATTACAAGACAATTTTGTGGTTACGGTAATTTATATCACACTTTGAAGTTTTTCATTTGAAGTCCTATAATTCAGCGCTTTCCGGTGAAACTTGGGTTCAATCCTCGGTAATAGACGGACATTTTATCTGTTTTAACCTGTGAAGTTTATGGTGACTTCATTAGCCATGCTGCCTTAAATCCTCGGGTTCACGACCCCCCATCCTCTATCTCCTGTCCTTCACCATCAAGTGGTAAAAACAGACAGCAATGACAGTTTAAAGACAGTATAGATCAGTGGTTCACAACCTTCCTAACGCTGGGACCATTTAATGTTGTGGTGATCCCTCAGCATACAAATCTTTCATTGTTACTTCATAACTTCATTAAATATGTGTTTTTCAATGGTCTTAGGCAATCCTGTGAAAGGGTCGTATGACCCCCAAAGGGGTTCTGACCCACAGGTTGAGAACCGCTGGTATAGATGCTCGGTGTGGCTAAATATTTCAAAAATTTGGCCACACAGTGTTCCATAAAGAACAAATGTATATGTAAAGAACATTATTCAGTGTTTACTGTTCAGTTAAAGATCATTTCCACTGCACATCGGACATGACCACAATTGCTTCGATCTTCTTCTGAAATGTCTCTAAGTGTTTTTAGGCTAGCGACTCCCATTCTGTTCTGACTGATGTTAAGTTATGTTATCACAATTGACATCACTGTACATTGGGCATTCCCATGCGTGCTCAGTCCTCCGATGCAGCGGCCACTCAAAAGTACTTCTAGTAATTGTTTCCATGAGAAGCTGGTAATATTGTTTCCTATCTGGGCCTCGAAGATAACACAGATGTGCTTCACCATGCTTTACTCCCATGTCACGCAATCATGTTAGTGTCAGGGATTCCTTATTATCCACTAGCCCAGTTCGTACAGCGTTGACGATATATGCTCTGTCCATGCTTTTTCTGGCAATCCTTAGTGCAGTGCTTGCCAGTCGGTCCACTTGCTCATTTCCTTTTTAAACCCGCATGACCCGGTGTGTAGATCCATGTTGTGGAGGTTAAGTGCAATTTTTGAATGCTTCTGGCTGATGTAATGACGGGTGGCTCCAGCATGGTTTTCTTGTCTTGCTGTTCCAATTGGAATACCCAGGGTATAGCCTGAAGAATCATTTTCCATGAAATTGAAAGCCTCACAGTGTTTATCTTATCACATTTATGATGTCTTTCCTGTCCATAGATGGCCCATTCTTTAGACTCGCATTATGTAAACAACAATATACATTTAAATGAAAACAGGCCTAATATGGTTTGAGCTCCTTCATAAATACACATAAGTACACATGATTTTACAAAAACAGCATTGTCAAAATTCAGAATAAATATATACATACATATTTACTAGGGACTATGAATTTTTACTAATAATTTGAAATTCTAAAAATGGAGAAAATCTGGCAGTTTCTCGGTTTAGTCTAGCGTAAAGTTTTGCGACACATGGAGTCGAACTTGTTGTCAGACAAGCTTCCCAAATATGGTCTCCGTGGTTTCTGAAGTGGTACCATGCATCTCCCATTAGCAGGGCCATATCACAAACAAGCTGTGCTCTCACACGAAAGGTCACTCTAGTGTTAGTACTGAGGTCGCCTTGGACGGGTTCAAGAAGTTGGCTGTGGCACCATCGGTGGCAAGCTCTGGGAAGTGGGCTTTTATTAGTCGCACTTTGCTTACAGTCTATTAGATAACGGAAAAGACATTCGTACTGTCCGTCTGGCTCATCTGGGTTAGCTGACTTTGCTCCGTAGATAGAGAAGACGTATTTGCCAATGTGAGGACAGCGGACCTGAAGTGCCATGGATGTGTCATCTCGGTGTCGAAGAAAGGCATAGCGTTGCAGATCGGCATCCACAGCATCTGCACGCTGACAGTGAAATGTCAGTGAATATGATAATCGGACTGTCCGACTGGCAGCAAATTGAAAGTTAATGTCGTCGTGGTTGTATGACACAAGTGGGTCGATATGTGTTTGAGGCAAAAGTCCACAACTGGCCATCGCCATAGTCGGTCCGAAGAAGGAAACTTTAGGATATGGCGATTTAATAGATTCACGTCCTTCTCTGCATGTGATTAGAAAAGCACATGCACTCTGTAAAAGATCTGAACCACTTTCATCTTTGACGTAGGCGGTGAAGTAGTATCTGCCTCGTTTCGGAGGAGCAATTGTAAACATGGCCTTATGACCAATAATTCTCAATAAGACACGACCTTCCAAAGAATTCTGACTGACCATTCTTTTATCTCTAGGCACCAATGTGTAACCAAAAGTCAACAAACGAGGGATTTTTAACTGCAGAGTAACCTCTCCTCGTTCACTGTGCTGTTTACAGTCATAATGAGTTGCAAATTTGAGACCTGCATTAAAAAATGGTGATTTAACAATGGGAAGGTCCAAGAATTCAGACATTGTTATAGGGACTTCAAGTAGCTGCCAAGCTGGGTCGTCTGGGTAGTGTTGATAGATATGGTCCTCGGGGTCGGTGATGAAGTAGAATTCATCGCACTGGTAGTAGAGTGGCTGCTTGGACAGATCAGTACCTGGGTCTTCACCGATTAGGCTTTCACCAACTGTGCTGATTGAGTCCCGACGTTCTGAGCGATCACCGGAACTGTCACTGTTTCTCCATCTGTCGGACAAATAATTATGACAGAATTAGGATACAATAGAAGAGGATCAGATACTGTTACCCCCCGTGTGGGTTCCGGGGCCCCATTGTGAGGAAAACAAGAAGAGACCCACTGCCTCCCCAAAAGCATGTCGTAAGAGTCGACTAACTGGGGAGCTTCCTTTGAAGTTGGAGTGCATCTGCCGGAGAGGCAAGGAACCAACAGTCTGTATTCAAGAGAATGAGATCTCTAAAACTGATGCACACGCAACACTCAGGTTCTGGAGCAGGACTGCAGTTCAGTAGTGTACGAGCAAACAGAACTTTCCGCCAGAGTGTACAGCTGGTGAACACGAAGAAGAAGAAGATACTGTTATAGTAGCATGAATGATACGTTTTCACATACACTAGGTTATAAACAACAGCTGTAGGAGAAGAAATAATGACTTAATAAAACACATAAGAAGATAGACAGACTTGTTTTATGAACAACTACTGGAGGAAGCTGACAAGATTCCAAAACATGATCTGTTAATAGTAATGGGCGATTTTAATGCTTAAGAAGGCAAAGATAATGAGGGTGTAGTGAGAACATGGGAAAGAAAGCAGTCAACACAATGAATGTAAATGGAGAATGATTAGCAGAGTTATGCTTGCAGTCAAACCTAGTAATGGGAGATACCCTTTTTGCACACAAAGAAATTCATAAATTAACTTGGATTCACCAGATGGGATGACCAAAAACAGATCACCTCTGTATCAGCAAAAAATTCAGAACCTCTTTAATGGAAATCTGTACATTCCAGTTTGAACTTAAAAGCAGGTGCAAGGTATTTGAAGAGGAGAGACAGCAGTGCATTTTAAACAAATGTTACAAGATAAAGACTTCTATCTTGGAGGCAGCTATTAGTAGTCCAAGATCAATGAAAAGTGATAGAAAACCATGGATAAGTGATGACACCTGGCAGTGTGTGCAGAATAGAAAGACAGCAAAACTTGCGATATGTAATGCTAAGACAACAGAAGGTGAAATTAATGCTAAAGAAGATTATAGGATAAGAGACAAGTAAAAAGTGCAGCAAGAAACTAGTAAAAGTATTATGTGTTGATAAACTGGCAGAAGAAGGGGAACAGGCAGCTAAGGTTGGAAATAGCAAAATACATTACAACACATTAAAACAACTAACAGGAACATGCAAAGCACAAGGTGGTCCAATCAAAAGCAAAGATAGCACGTTGCTCATATCTGATGCTGAGCAGATGAAAAGATGTGCAGAGCATTTCAAGGAGACCTTAAACAGACCTGATCCACTAGACTTGATGAAGTTTGAAGAAGAGGCAAAGGGACCACACTCCTCAGAAATGAGGGTCAGGTTAATGCTACGGAAATCAAAAGGGCAATACATACATTCCCTAGTAATTAACAAGACGGGTGATGATAATATTAGGGCAGAAATGCTCAAAGGAGCAAATGAGACTGTCCAACAAGTGCTAGATCTATTGAACATAATTTGGGAAGGGGAAACAGTCCAAGAACAATGGAAGGAAGGAATAACTGAAAATCCCCCCCCCCTCCCCCCCTCAAAAAAGTACTCTTAATAACTGCAATAATTGGAGAGGAATTACATTATTATCTGTTATATAAAAAAAAAAAAAACTTTTGCAAAATAATCCTTAATAAAATTAAAGAGGCAGTTGATACAATCACGAGAGAAGAACAAGCTGGTTGTCTGAATCAAATAATTATCCTGAGACTTATTCTAGAAGTACACATTGAGAAGCACAACCTCTCATCCTGAATCTTATTAATTTCATGAAGGCCTTTGACAGCTTACATAGAATTTCATTATATGGAATTTTAGAATGCTATGGTAAACAAGCCAAAATGATATGCATTGTTATAAATTTATACACAGGTTAAGAATGTGCAGTGCACACTGAAAATGGTCTAAGTGACTGGTTTTTGGTGGAAACTGTGGAGTGAAACAAGGCTGCTTTCTATCTCCCTTGCTGTTTGGAGTAGCCATTGACTGGGTATGAACAAAAGTTGCAAAGGCAATACTAGCATTGACTGGGTATGAACAAAAGTTGCAAAGGCAATACTAGCATTGACTGGGTAGAGAACAAAAGTTGCAAAGGCAATACTAGCATTGACTGGGTAGAGAACAAAAGTTGCAAAGGCAATACTAGCATTGACTGGGTATGAACAAAAGTTGCAAAGGCAATACTAGCATTGACTGGGTAGAGAACAAAAGTTGCAAAGGCAATACTAGCATTGACTGGGTAGAGAACAAAAGTTGCAAAGGCAATACTTGTATTGACTGGGTAGAGAACAAATAACTGGAAGATCTGGATTGAACCAATGATATTGTTTTGTTAAGTGATAATAACAAAGACATGCAAAGAAAAACAGATGATTTTGTCGTCTACAGCATCAAAAATAGGACTACAAATTAGTTATGAGAAAACAAATAAAGATACCAACAACAGATCATGTAGATGTCATCCTAGAGAACAAACCAATAAAAATAACGGACCCTTTCACCTTTTTGGGTAGCAATTTTGACTCTGAAGGAGAGACCATAAAGGTAATTATGATATGCATTGACAAAGCAACAAGTCTTTAAAAGCCTTAACAAAATATGGAACTCCAAGTTATACAGCTTTAAGACCAAACTACAAATCTTTAACTCTAGTGTTATTTTAACTCTTAACATATGACAGCGAAAACTTGACAACCACTAAAGATAAGTAACAAAAGTTAAACGTCTTTGAAAAGTCATGAATATAAAATGGGATGAATTTAAAATGAGTGAGGAGATCAGAGAAATGTCTGGACAAATACCTGTACTGGCAGCAATAGACAAAGAAGATGGGGATTTACTGGGCACACTCTGAGATGAAATGAGCACAGAATTAACAAAACAAGCACTGAAATGGGAAGCAAATGGTCTGAGAAAAAGAGAAAATCCAAAGGAAACATTAAGGAGACCATTATGAGGAGAAGTTAAAAATACTAGACTGAACTGCATGTCAGAAATTGAGAAAGCTGCATGCAGTAGAGTAAAGTGGCTGAGGATTTAGGGTTGCATGATCATATATAAAAGATTTTCCCACACAATACAGAAGGGTAAATGCATAACCGGTCTCACAAGATGATTTCCCCACACAATACGGAAGGCCAGATACACAACAAGTCTGTGTTTGATTTCCCCACACAATATAGAAGGCTAGATACACAATAGGCCTAACAGGGATGATTTCTTTATACTCTTCAGAAGGCTATATACAGAACAGGTCTAACATTGAAGATTTCCATCATGAAAATTTCTTTTCCCTTTTTCGATACTTCTGTCAGAATTTTTGTTTCACAAGGCTGAGCCCGATGCGCCGAAAGGCGTGAAAAGGGATCTTTACTTTACTTTTACTTACCTCAAACAGAGGAAATCCACAGGTCACGGGACAGTCTTATATTTCAGGGGGTGGTAGATAGGCTGCATGCAGTCATAGGACCTAGGCTGCACTCTCTCGTGGGGCATAGGTGGGTTGGGGTTAGAGTCAGTTCTAGATGTTTGGGGTCGTTAAAAGCATCGGAAACCCGGAAAACCCAGTAAAGGTAAAGGTAAAGTCGGAAGATGTGAATCAGCGTCATTGCACACAGTTATAGACCATAAGTGCTCTGCCACCAGTATGGACAGCTAATAAGGAATTGTCCGCCTGTGTCGCCGTTCACACGTAACTCCATAGCTACAGTAACGTTCCTCCATTTAACCCAGAGTGTTAACTCTGGTACCCATTTCCTAGAGGCTGGGTGAACCCTGGGAACCACCCGGTTTCGAACACTGGCTGTGGACTGCAGCGAGTCGCAGCTGAATTTGAAAGCTATCGACTGTACTAATGCAGACTGGGACCCTTTTCAACCTAAAGTGCATCGGGCATACAGTAAAAGCAAAAGTAAAAGACCTTTTTCCAGACCTTCAAGCATATTGGGCATATTGTGGTAGACCTATATTTTACAGACCAGCCAGGAATCGATGTGGTCAACATTATGCAGGATGCCTTTACTTCCCAGGACTTCACCTGGTACCTATTTAAGGTTTGGTGGACCTAGGGGCCTAGGATATTTTGTTTAAAAAGTATGGCTCCATTTAGGACTTAAACCCTACACCTCAGTGCCTTCTCCGTTGAGCATACAGTGCTAGACCTCTGTTTGTTTTAGGTCAGCAATCAGCGGTTTATGTGGTCAGTATAGTGCTAGATGCCTTTACTTCCATTCACCTGGTACCCATTCTAGGCTGGGTCAAGCTGGGAGTCAAGGTCAAGTTTGTTGTGGATTCAAACCATGGAGCTTCAGACTGACAGGTGAGCATCTAGCCACTACATGTCCACAACTCCCCATGAAATCTAAGCTTTCTGTATCTCAGTGAGGTGGACACATCCTGTCCAATTGTTTTAAACATCCAATGCAATGATGATGACAATGATATTTATGATAATAGTGATGATGGTAGCAGTGATGATGGTGATGATAATGTTGATGATGATGGGGATAATGCTGGTAGCCATGAAGATGGGGATGTTGATGATGACAGAGATGGTAATGATTATGATAGTGATGATGGTGATGATGATGATAATACTGATGATAATGATGGTGATAATGATGATGATAGTAATGATGATGGTGGTGGTGATGATTATGGTAGTTGTGATGGTAGATGACGATGATAATGATGATGATTATGGTAGTGGTAACAATAATGGTGACGATGATGATGGTGGTGGTGTTGGTTGTGATGATGATGATAATACTGATGATAATGATGGTGATAATGATGATGATAGTAATGATGATGGTGGTGGTGATGATTATGGTAGTGGTGATGGTAGATGACGATGATAATGATGATGATTATGGTAGTGGTAACGATAATGGTGACGATGATGATGGTGGTGGTGTTGGTTGTGATGATGATGATGGTGATGATGATGGGGCTGGTGATGATGAAGATGATGATGAAGATAAGATATAAACAGAACCATCATTTAAATAGCTGAGCGAAGTGGAGACAAACTATCCAAATGTTTTAAGTGTTCATCCCTGGGATAATGATGATAAAGATAATCCAATATAATCTAAACTAACCTTTCAGTATCTGAACGAGGTGGAGACAATCTATCCGAGTGCTTCAAATATTCATCCTGGTGAAGACTTGGAGTTACCCCACTTGCCATGTGAGAAGAACTGCCAGATGTTGAAGCCACATTGGCAAATCTGAATATGGAACTAGGTGGAGATGTCTTTGATGAGCTGATGTGAGAATAAGTCGTTGTTCTGAATGTAGACTGTGGAGGAGATGATCTTGCAGAATTATCTGACCCTGAACTGTTTCTAAATGCTTGAGGAGATGAACATCTCATAGAAGCGTTAGCATCATGCTGCTGTCGAGACGTCCTAAACAGCGACTGCGGTGGGGAAAATCTTTCACTCTCTTTCTGCGATGAGGAGGATGAGGAGGAGTCGAAATGCATACCAAATGCTCCACCAGACCGTGGAGTTGAGCTCATAGATGCTAGAGGAGAGTTGGAAGGCGACATATTCTCTGTGCTTGATTTACTATACCCGCTACTAAAACTTGCAGTGTCACCATCAGACAGACGTGCAACTGCCGATTTTGATTTTATATCTTTATTGTAGAAAGCGTCCAACAAAGATCTACCCGCGTATCCATCAAGGGAAACAACATTATCTTCAACTCTATTCTCTTTGTTACTTCCCCCTTCTGTTGGCAGTTTTCGAACCACGTGAGTCCGATTCCCTGACGGATCTGGATTTACTACATATCCATTGGCCACCGTGTATGGAGAAGTGTAATTGCCAGAACCCAGACTCTGGAACTGGTCAGTATTTCCAGAAAGACCTTGTAACTTTGATCTGGAATCACTGTAACTATTTCCCATCTGCTCAGTTCTCATTCGGTTTTCATTAGAAAACATGCTGCCCTGAAAATTACCATACCCATAGTGGCCACCAGCTCCGCCAATAGAGCCTCCACTAAAAGCACTGCACATTCCGTTGTTCACTGAGGGTGAAGCTCCGCAATAAAGTTCATCGTTGTTTAGCTGAGGTACACCGCTGCTTTCTCGATTTTCCAAACTATCTCTTCTTTCTCCATTTTGTCCCAAGCTGCGTTCGGGTGTGCTATGTTCATATAGAATCTCTACGTTGTTGTAGTGTGTGTGAGTGTTGCTGTCTAGGCGAATTCCTTCTCTTTTCTTTCTGGAGCATGTACCTTCATCCGCGCGCCCTTTTCCTTTGACGTGGCGGGCACCCCAGTTGCAGTTGATGAAGCACCATGAGCCATCAATGCTGACGGCAGTCCACGAATTTCTGAAAGAAATTAGGAACAGTTTATTAACTAGCTGAGTCCCGAACAACGCATGATGTGTGAATCACTTTATCTGCTGAATCCCCTCCCTATCTTAATATGTAATCTCATTTTTTTTTATATTTCGTCAGAACACACTCAAGAAATCTGGCTTATCCATTGGTCACTACTACTGTTATATTAATATCCTGAGAGTAATGCATTGATACATTTTAATGAAGGATATTTCTCCATTGACATCACCTGTGAAACCTTCTGGCACTAAAAGATTTAAGTAACATCAAGTTCTAATGTGGGTTACAAGGATTAATACTGGTGGTGGTGGTGGGGGGGGGGGGGGGGGGGTGGGAAGGGGTGGGGGGGGGGGGGGGTGGAAGGGGTGGGGGGGAGGGAAGAGAATAAACCTATTGCCTTCTATCAATGGTGAAAATATGGAGGTGACTGCAGTCAAGCTAATACAAG